GTCGGGTGTACACCTTCTTAGCTGATCCGAGTGGGTTTGGTCCTCCTTTGAGTCACAATTGGTAGGATTCCTTTCCAGTGGGCAGTGCAAGACACTAATCCCCTACAGGAAAAGTACTATCCTACGCCCATTCGGAAAACAACCGAGGACATTCTACGATCGCGTCATACCCGGCACGGCCGCCAAGAGTCGGAGACATCTGAAGGCAACATCGAATCTACATAGAAAATGTATATGATTCAGAAGGATGAAACATGGCCCGAGTCTGATGATAGGAAAAAATCCAATAGCTATCCACACGAGTTGGAACGGTGATTGAATGGCTGAACGTCTGAATTCATATGGAACCTCTTTTGCTACTCCGATGTGGAGAAAGGAGGAGTTTTCGTGCAATAGTTGTTAGAGTGCGGTAAAGGCTATGATTGGCTGGACGTGGCCGCAGATGTGAAGCCTTCAGTAGGTCTCATTCGGCCAATCAATTTGATGGAGTGGGAGAAATGCTCTTAATATAACTTGTATACCACTTCTATCCGCCTTGAAGTAAATGACAGCTCATAGAGGCCTGCAGAAGCGGAGTTACCAAGTATAGGCCTAATGTTCCCGAGAACTAACGCCATGGTTCCAGGGGCCTTTAGTGTTTCTTCGAACAACCATTGTGTTCCTAGGATCGAGGATATCACTTCTTGAGAATGGTCTGATAGATCCCAAGAGTCCCAATGTTCATAAGCTAATAAGTTTCGCACCCAGGAACCCACCATATATTCAGCATATCTACAAACGGGGAAAGCTCCCCTGCAGTGATATCCCGCGGAATACTGTTATGAACCTAGCCAGGCGGCACTACGAGGCAGAATCGGGCGCGGGTTGACGAGCCTAAGGAGACCAAGATGTGCGGACCGAGACCCATCGGGGACTAGCAGCCGTTGACGATGAGCCACAACGGACCACGGTCCGCTGAGGATCGCGATCCAGGGACGACGGGCTTGGAGGAACCAGAAACCAGGGACGCGGAACCCACAGAGACAATAAACCATGGCCCGAAGAAAAACGCAACTGCGACAAGGTAAAAGAACGGACGGCAAGCTGGGCGCGGTAAACGGCTCCCTTTGCACCGCCCCATCTGCCGCCCGCAACCGCCTGCCGCCGCCGGTCATCCACCCGCCCCTTACGGTATAGCGCTGACTTTCTGTCGTTCACCGACCGAGAAATCGCATGCTGGAATGGTCTTGTCTAAGGTACTATGGCCCACGCTTTCGCCACCCCAGCCCATGAGGAGCATATGACGGATCCTTCCCGCGCCGTGGAGGAAGTAAGTCTGGGCCGAGTTGATCGTCCCGATGAAGACGGGAACCGCCGATTCTTGGGCACGCTGGAGGGCCCGGTAGACCTCGGCTTCGCGCGAGACCTCCCCCCAGAGTCTCGACATCGTCCCTTTCCCGACAACGGTATATCCAAAGGTGGCACACGTAATCTTGAATGGTGCGCCGGAGGACCCACAGGGGTCGATGGGAGTGCAGTTATGATCCAGATCCTGATTGAGCTGCGCCTGGAGCTTGAAAATGGGGATCGGGGGCCCATCCCAATTGACGATAGGGTATAAAGGCGGTGTAGAATTGGACGTGAAATCTGGTACAACATTTGATATCGCCCTGGACTAGTAGAGCGGTGACCGGAATTTTATTTTTCCTCTTGGGCCCCTTACCTGCCCAGTACTTAAGTAGTTAGGTAGTCAACAGAAGAGCCTCCAATGTGGTCGAATTTTTCTTAATCCATCAAAGTGAACGTTGTTGCTGTGTCCGACATTGCGCCATTCTCAGAAATAGACAATCATCGGATATCACAGTTCAGTCCTCCTCCCGCCAATTCCCCACATTGTTTGTTCCTTTCCCTTGCTCGACCAGCAGCTACGAGACCATGCACCAAACACTAAGACCGCTCAACTACGGATGCACGGATTGGCGGATCAGTAGTCAAAGAGCCGCAGATCTGTACAGTTCTGGTACCAGGCTCTGGACGAAAAAGGATCTCGAAGACATAGAGCAACAATTGCGCCAGTCCTATACGATGGAAAGATTTTCAGTCCGTCGAATAGATGGAAGCATAATCCAAATCTACAATCCCATGTTCCAAGTGCAGAATCCTATCTGGTACGGGGATATAATATTTTGGCCCATTTTCAGCCTGCAATCTAAGTCTTCCTTAGGAAACCTCATGTCAAGTACCAAGAATATTGGCAACTTGTGAAAGCACAACCCAACGGCCCGATCGAGACTTACCTATGCTCTTACATCGTGGATTGGAGCAATCAGACTGCACGAAACTTTCGAGAGCTTATAGCACAGCCTATGCAAGTCTTTGACGAGAAACAATTGTTGTGGCAGAACAGCAAGACCTGCAGGCAGTTGGCAGCCTTGGTCCAAGATGTACTCGGTACGAACACTGTGAAGAAGATTCTCTGCTTTGGGCTCGGTGATTTTTGCCGCTCCGCGCCTGAGTGGCTAAAAAAGCAGCACGACTCTTGGGATGAGAACTTGGAGGTGAAAAATGTGATGGGCTGCATGATTCAGCATTCGATGGCTCTTACTATTGCTCAACTTTGTCGTGGCAATGAAACATTGCCATTACTTGCTCAGGACCCAGAATATACGAAGGTCGCAGAAGACATCCTAACCAAGAAGGAATTCAAAATTGTTGGGACTCACGGTGCAGGAGGATTCGCGGAAATTGACGAGGACTCGATCATAATATCACCATTTGCTGCCGCACCAGTCAAGCAAATCATCGCTGATCTTGCTCGGCCTTTGCTCATCATTTCCACCGGTTTTGAAGTCTTCAATAGCAATGAGTAAGTTCGCTTTATCGATCGCTGAATATGTCTAACCATGGCACTCCACAGGAAACCATTGGCAGATGCTGAATCTCCGAGGACAAGGCAAATGTGGCTTGATTATGATGCCTATAGCCTTCCAAGCCATCCTGATGACGTTGAGATATGCTCTGCATTGAATGGGTTGCATTTGTATTGTAGACGCCAACGACGTCTGGATATGCGAGAAGCATGAGTTCAAGCCATCGCAAATATGAAATGGATTTCAGAACGGGAGGTCTTATGTACTTGGTGTCTCACACCCCTTATGTGCTGCGATTGATTTCGTAAACTGTTCCACAAGAGCCCGCAGAGTCATTATTCAGGTGCAACCTCATGGTTGGTTGCCGGTCAAGCAGCTTCAGTGACAGTTCAAAAAGAAAAAAACATTGCAGCTATTCGCCTCCCGCCTCCGATCGTTTACTCCTTTTTCTTGGAGCAATTGCAACAGGCATAACAAGCGCCACAGTCCGCATGGACAAAGCTCTTCTCCTGTCCGCAGGTGCAACATTTGATCGCGTTCACGGGACCGGTTATGTCGGATTCACAAGCCATGACGGAGGCAGAGACTATATAGATATTAATTAGGGGACCACCGATCAGCAACAGAGGGCACGTGTACTATACTTGAAAGGATTTGGCAATCGGGTGTACGTCTGAGAAGCGGTTTAGGAAAGCAGGCAGAGCAGGCAGTCTGTCGACTAGGTTATAGGAATCAAAACCACGAACGTGATTGTTGAAAAGTTCAAGTCACAACTGTTCCTTTCGCGCTCTTAAAACAACAAGAAAGCGGGGTAATAGACGTGACAGGTCACCTGGGCATAAAAACTGGCGAGGCCACTATATCCAATAGCCTCGTGAGCACCGGATGATTTCTAACGGGTCTGTCCTGCATGTAGAATCACTGAGGATGCCTCCTCCTAGTTAACTCGAGTGTGATGGCACCTGCATTTGGCGCTAAAGATGGCTCACTAGCACCAATCAATGGATATTACTGAGCAGCTGTGTTGATCAATAGGCTTCAGCGAGGCCCCAATTTGGGTCCAAGGCACCTGTCCGTGCGCTGTGTGCCCTTGAATGGTCAAGAATGGTTCGGTCTGGGCTCTATCTGCGATACAGACGAGATCCAGGCCACATCTTCTGTTTTAGAAGGGGTGGTGCGAAGGCTGGTTTGCGCGTTCTCATTGTTCATGTATGGGACAACGGCTCTCGAGCGACATACTATGGCGCTCGTGACTCAAACGCTGGAGCCCAAAAGTACTTTTTTGAACGGACGTGCGCGCTGTTTGGTGCGGTAAAGGGATGATAGTCGGGGTGCCCATGTCACTTGAGGCTGATTACAGGGCGCGATCGGGTTCAACACAGCAGATCGGGCGGAACTTAATATTCTATTTGGCGGCTGAAGGTGGCCTGTAGCCAATTAACTGTTAAGCAGCAGGTCACAAGATGGGGTGTTCCATCACACTTTCTCGGGATAGATTGCCGGCTCAGCTTGCCTCCTAAATCTAATAAAAGACCCAGAACTTGAGAAGTCATTGTTTCTTCTGACCGACCGAAAATAATAATCCATAAGACAATCGATGACTTTAAAAAAATCATAAAATGTGTGGCTTTCCAAGATTCCTTGAAGGCAGTCGTAAAGCAAAATAATATCGTAAATAGTCCATTGAACCAACTGTGAAGGGAAATAAAATGATTAATCAAAATGGCAGAGCTTGATGTATCCCAAATTATCGTTTCAACGGTGGCATCGTTCTGCGCTGGGTTATCTCTCGTACTCTGGTTTGCCTTGGTTTGCGATGGACATCCGTCCCGACTTGTCTTACTCCGCCAAAACCCCTACGTTTTCTCACAGGCTGTGGTAGGAGCTCTGGTTTGGACTGGCCTCATTGGGTCAGTGGCATTGGCTGTTTTCCAGCCAGTCCTCCGAAGCGGTGAGTAGCATCCAAGCTTCTCTCCTCACCCAGCTGAGTGCTACGCCCAGATCCTTCAAGGCCTGCTCTGACAGTCGAGCTGGGATTCCTTCTTCTTCTGCCACCGATAAACGAGGTAAAAAATACTCTATTTCAATGGTAAACCTGCTGACATCAACGAGTTTCTCGGCCTTGTTAACCAACGTCTCCGGTCAACTCGTACTTTCATCATCTTTCCTATCTCCAAAACTTTGCTACTGCTAACGTAAGTCTTGTTCTCAACCTCGGTCGGTTATAATCATAACTCAGTCGAACAGTTTCTTTCTCGACCAAATACAACGCCGAATTCGTCACATTCTCTACGCATCAATTATTTTACTCACGACTGCTGAGATACTCTTTTTCGCGATCCAGTACCATCAGCTCTGGCGAATTTGCGACCGGGTAAACACTTCGTACCCAATATCTTCTCGAAATCCGGATCTCTTCCAGAATCAACCCTCCAAACATCAACGGACTCTTAGGGCGGCAGCTTTAAGTGCCATGGTTCTCTGGTTTCTGTCAGGTCTCATCACAGTCAGCGCATATCTTGAACTCTTTCCTGGACCACAGCTAGCAACAGTGAGGAAGGCCCGTTGAATCGTCCGGAGTCGTTACTGACCTAGAAAAGGCCCAAATAGCCATGCTAAGCTTGATGAGATTAGTTATTCCATTTTTTTTGAGCAAGGAAATTTGACGTCCCTCCCATTCAGATCTTGAGGTAAGCCAGCCCTTCGACACATTCCATACTCGTCGTCGACTGACATGCCGTGTCTACCCGATTAGGCCGCAACCGTCACGTGTTACTCGTCCCCCCATTATCTGAAATTTGATTTAAGCGGCATCGTTACTTGCGGAATACTTTTCCCGCAACCTTCTGCCAAAAACCGATTCGAGATTCCATCCTCCGTATTCGAATATCCTATCGCCTGTTCTACATTGAAGCTTCAAGGAAAGAAAGAAAGACATCTGAGATGGCCGAAGAAGGTGGAATTATAGCGGTGGAAGGTCACACGTACAAAATAAAAGGTGCAGCTCTTTTTCGGGAGACAGACTACAGGAGAAGAATAGCAGCACAGGGAGAATCGATAGTCGTTTTTGACCCGAAAGCGGATCCCCGATCTCCTGCCGTTTGGGAGAATGGACAAGACCCTGCGATGGAAGAAACTGCAATTGTGCCTGCCGGATGCCAAGTGAGTGTGATTGCTGCTCCTGTGATAGGAGCAACAGTGACTTTCACGCGCGAATAATCTCAACTTCTGCTTCATATATCAAGTCGAAGCCGGCACGACGGCCAACCACTAAGACGATTGAAATATCCTGACTTCGGTCTTTCGGCACGAAAAAATTGAGGCAATCTGTTCTATCTGAACCGCTACCCCCCAATCTCTCAGCAAAGAGTCGTCTTTCCCATTTCCATTGCTCGCTACTCGTTATCGCCCCTGAAAGTCGTTCAATGAAATGTGGTAGCTTGCTGGTTGGCATGGACGCCATTTTATAGTCGATTTCTATTATCATTTTAGCATCAGTCTCTATGCATGAAATGGCGTTGCTTCTAACTTACCTTTGCTTCTTTGTTCTATCATCTGTTTGTCATTATTAGTCTCTGGGTCACGAAGTTCTCTTTGAGGTGGTGAGCCTTGGTCTGTACGCTTCCGTTTGTATTGCACCACAGGTTCTGGTTCTTCCACAATAGTTGGTCTCTCTATGTTTTTAACAAAGCTCTGGAATTGCTCGCAAGTATCCAAAGGTTCCTCGTCCTTCAGGCAAAGTAGGCTTTCGAAAATCTTTGGCGGTATTTGATCAAAAGTTACCTCCTTCAAGTCTTGGATGAGAAAATCGAAGGTGCCATCCGCCATGACCGTTGGGTGTATCCATGCGGATGGCTGTGGAAAAGACATTGCCCACTTCAAAACCAAGTGATGAGATTCGACGCGAAGTTTTTCACATCGGGTCCGGGATTTGGCTTTCCTGATTTGTACTTTGGTGGGATCCAATACAGACTCATCTGGACCCCGAAAGATAAGCACCAGATTTTTTCGGAAGATTGCGGGGTCGAATTCATCGGCAGCTTTAATTTGGTTTGCAAGGGCTCGTTCTTTGTCTGTTGGACCTGCCCTTCGCAATAGAAGTTCCACATGAGATTCAATACCTGCCACAGCTGTTTTGAGTTGCATGCTAAGTTTCTGAATTTCGTCCAGCTGCTCGCGGTTTGGACGAATTTTAGAGCTCAATTTGGGACCCAAACTTTCCATGTGGTTAAGCAAATTCGAGAACTGAGAGAGGACCGCGCCCGCAGACATGTTGCCCTAGTTTGATAAAACTCGGGAAAATTCCTGGCTGTTAAAAATTCAGAAGCAAGCTGACGGTCGCTTAAATAGGCTCCAGCCCATGTGAATGCCCCACTATGATGCATGACTCGGCCAATCTACGGCCCAAACAATGTGCTGCCCGATCAAAGTTTTTAAAGCCCTCGCAAATTACTGAGATGACGATTTTTTTGTTTCTCGACGATGTCACTAATTCTGCTAGTATTGAGTAGTCTGTAGCTAGCTATCCAAGGAAGTGATAATGGCTACAGGTACGTATCCTCTGAGCTTCCAGTTAGAAGAGACTACACGATCGACACAGTTTAGTATTTCAGGATAGCCAGTTGGAAGATCCCGCACAATACAGCCTGTCCGAGCCCTCCGTAGCGCATCTCGCGGCACAATGTTATTCAGATCGTGCTGTGGTCGAGACCATGACCAAGCATCCCGAAGAATGCTAGCATGATTCCTCCGTCGGTCGAAAAGGAGTAGTACGAGAGGGAGGGAGCGAGGAGAGGGGCCTATATTGAAGTATCTCTGCGGCAGACATAAAAGGCGGCGTGTTTCCTCCTGAATTCGTTTTTATATCGTTATCATTGACATTCGAGCCCTCATCGTACCAATCTGCTCCAAGACACCATTACCAATCACAGTACATCAGCTAATATGGTTGCAACTCACCAAGACATTAACGCGTCCCCTCCAGTCCCCCAAGCTGTTGACCGGGGACTAGAGAGAAAGCCTTTGCCCACTCTCGTTGCTGGAGAGCTGGTGTCAGTCGTGACTGAACTGGTGAAGCAAGCCTTGTCCAACCCGGCTACATGGCCCGGTGGGCAGCCAACCACTCCGGTCTGTGCCTTTGGACCATCCACGCCGCCGCTTGATACCCACGAACTGGAGAAGCAGTTGATAGACATTGCTGAGACCAGCTGTCAGTCTGACTGTACTGACTTTGACTCCCTTGGCACTTTCGACGCTGGAGAGGTCAACCCCGAAAATCTCATGGCCGAAAAGCAGCATAGTCCAGATTCTCGGTCCGAGGAGCTGGTTACAATGGGTCAGTTGAAATGTCTGCTCCAAGCTGTGCTGGAACACAAACCTCAATCGACTTCGGAGATTGCGGAAAGTGATCTGGTCGACAACCAGCACAAAGAGGAAAAAGTTGGAGCCTCCATACCAGACTACAAAATCATCCTTGAAAAGTACAGTTTCCCCACTCCAAGCATTATGTTTCAAGTTCACTGACGGGCAATAGGTGGCAAAGACTGATCGACGAAGGGCATTCTTCAGTTGGACCAGCTGTGGCTACTAAGCCTGCCCAGGCCCCGTGTGCTAGTAAGGAACAGGAAGAGAACGTTCAGGTGGTAGATGAAATTGATCTCAAGAGTCCAATCTGCACTACCCCGGAAGATTTCAAATCGTTCGAAAAGTGGGCCTCGACACCCCAATTGAAGACGGTCGTGGAAATGTAAGCCTCAAACCCCTCCTCCCATCACTTTCCAGCAACTAGCTGACGCCGATATAGCTGGGACAAAGGCGCGAGCAGATACAAAATCGGAGAGCCAGTAAAGACCAGCAGTAGTCTAGACGACTATGTTGAATATGCATTCGTTGTTCGCGAACGTGTTGGTACGTAATATTTTTTTCGCAAGCCGAAGCAATACTAACGGTACGATTAGAACGAAATTCTGAGAAAGTCACGACTTACATAGACATCAAATCTGAAGGCCTGCGCAACGTCCTGCGGGTAGTACTGCACGACATCAAAGCCATTAGCCTGATGGAGGAAAAACCATCGGTAACTAAGAAAAGAGTATCATATCTGAGAAGATTGCTGACCGGGTCTAGATCGAGCGAAACATCCTTTTTCATTTCCTCCCGGAGCTCGACAAATACGCGGAGAATATGAACAACTCAGACTGCGCGTTCCCGCGGCAGTGCCTCCGCTTGCTCGTCGACCACCTCAAGCAAGCGTTTTCCTCCATCTCGCAGCGTGTCGAGTCAATGCTGGAGCACGGCCACATTACTTATGACCTTCTCTGGGCGCTTTTCAAACCGGGTTCCCATGTTTTCACGACATGCTTCGCCACAAAAGAGCCGCGATGTGTTATATTTGACGCAGGGGAAGAGATAACACAAGATGGCGAGACGTGGTTTAATCTCGAATGCCGATTCCTTGATTATGACGGAGTCAAGTTTGGCGAGGCCGGAGTCTTTCCGCGTGTGCCAAAGTTCCGTGGGTCAAAGCCAATCGAGACCCTTGAGGCCTTCCCTCTCTGCTACCATCCAAGGCACCAGCAAGTCCGAAAAGACTTGGTCGAGAGAGGCCAAAAGTTTCGGGATTTGGCCGGCTCGCACATTCGGCACTGCAATGGCAGCGCATTCTTTATGAACAAAGGAAAGGCAATCAGAGTCAACATCAACAGTCGAGTGGGAGTGGACGCCGCATTTTTCCATGATATGCAGCCAAACTACTCCCGACCGTCACTCCGCGACCTAGGGGCCAAGGGCAAGAATGGAATTGCGGTAATTAACCTAGGTGCGATGCTCATGGAGGACCGCGAGCGGCAGAAGGAGAGAATGCAAGGAGACGGCATGGAGGCGCAAAAGTTGTGCGAAGCCAATTTCTTGGTCGCCAGCCCAACTGTCTGCTGTTTCAGTTTCAAGGAGAAAATGTTCTGTATGTGAAAGAATGTGACAGTATCGTGGCGCCCGACTAATGAGGCTCCAGTGGAATGCGCAGTCAGTGCTCTTGGCAACGTGGATTGGTCCCCCGAATCGCTCGACTGTCTGCAGATCCCTTCAGAGACTAAGACGCTCCTCTTGTCAATGGCGAAAACCCGTCTGGGATTGATACCCACGGTACCATTCGACGACGTAATTGATGGGAAAGGTCAAGGACTCAGCATCCTTCTGGAGTATGTCAGCAAATTTTCTATTACTATGTCGAGGTTTCCACTCTAACCCGTGCTAGTGGCCCACCTGGCGTCGGAAAGACGTTCACGGTTGAAGCAACCTCAGAATATTTCAAGCTGCCTCTCTATTCGGTAGGAACCCGTCGCGGCGCTAATTGTGGCCTCCCTAACTTTCCCAGATATCCGCAGGCGAACTCGTCGTCGACCACGGAGATTCCAATGCACTTGAGCAACAACTTGAAACAATATTCAAGATTGCGAAACACTTCAAAGCCGTGCTTCTCTTAGATGAAGCAGATGCGTTCATGGAGCAGCGTACATCTTACCACGGTACTCACAATCGCCTGGTGACCGTTTTCCTCCGAAAGCTGGAATATTATCAAGGAATTCTTTTCCTAACTTCGAATCGCGGTATCCAGCTTGATGAGGCGATCCTTAGTCGGATTCATTTAACCATCAAGTACAAAGACTTAAGCAGGGATTTTCGCAAGGGTCTGTGGTCAACTTTTCTGACTAGGGCACGTACAGTCCAAGGACCTGCTATGATCGAGGAGCATGACCTCCGACGACTGGAGTCTTTAGCTCTCAATGGACGAGAGGTGGGTTCTGAAGCGCTGCTTTGCACTTCTCACAGGCTGACTAGCATGAACTAGATCAAAAACATCGCAGCAGTCGCACATGCTCTCGCTGAGGCGGATGCTAGCCAGGTGAGCTATAAATACCTGGAGTTAGCCGCGGAATCGAATCAGAAATTTTCGAAGGAGTTCGGCAGACAGGAGATGTATATCTAGCAGCATACCTAAAAAAGTCATGTGGATAATAATCTTGATCCTCGCTGTTGTCGAGCGGTTCGGCGCTTGGTGCGATATGCTCCTTAGTACACGATAGTCCGTAATACCAGTCCTGAAGCTTCACATCTGAATCAACGTTTTCACATAACCCAAGGGATTACACAATAGTCAAGTTTGAGAGCTGGAATTGGACGATCCATTCGTATCTAAGTTTCTCCATAGGGTCCGTAGGCACTGCGTTGCATTTGACCATCTCTTCCCACAATTCCATCGGTCGTACTCCTGCCCGGAGGGTCTCCACGGAAAGTTTATGCGGTGGCTTATATTCAACGGCGAGGAGGGAATTGGTGCTACCGCACACGCGGTGAATGCAAAATTGGTCGGGCCGCGGACGGCGTGAAATATGAGGATTATTTGCGTCTAATTCAGCCTGGCTTTCGGTCAACGCATTGGTGTGGTTGTCGAACCAAATACCATCACCAAGCGTAGACTCCTCTCGAGCAGCCGGAATCTTGCCCCAGCTCTCAAATAATGTCGCGCACATGATCTTCCACAGTGATCCGTTCACAAGTCTCGATGCCTTGTTCACTGCTGATAGGCCGAAGAGCGAAACGCCTAGCAAACTCTTCAAGTGTAATCACGGGAGGGAAGTATTGTGCTCGGAATTCATCAGTAGATTGTAGGTAGGTGCATACCCTGTCGTAGATGGCTTGCTGTTGACGCCCTTAGGGAGGGGTATCGTCCCGGTGGTCGAGCGAGACGGGTTTGCGACTTTCAAAGGTCGGGAGAGTAGGTTGTGGCAGTGGCGTAGGAATTCCAGGAAAGTTGTCTGACAGGTGCGTTCTTCAATCTGGTTTCGTTGTGATTCGGCCGGCTCCCGCCTCTCTTTCTCGCGTCATCCTTCATCTTCTGCAAGCTTCCTCTCTTCTTCCTGCAAAAAGAGACTTTTGTAGTCTGGAGAGCTGTGATCGTGCCATCAACTGTTGGAAAGGGGGAGCTTCGTGACGACCAGTGACAAATGGTGAGGTCGGCTGCTCACGGCTCCCGGCACAGGTATTTTTCCGGAGAATAGTTGAATAATCACTCATGGAGGGCTTGATAATTATTTCGACAATTAACTATCTACCGCCTCGTTCAAAAGCAAAGGTACTCTTTCTTTTCTCTTCACAGTGCTCTGCCACTTCTCGGAGCTCCTGTTGCTGAGGTGTGGCCCGGCGATTGTTTCTTCCATCCCTTATACTATTCAGCAGGTGATTGACAAAGGCGAAGTCTCAGCCGTCCTGAAGGCAACCATGCAGCTTATGTCTTGGTCAAGCGGTCGCAGCTTCTCAAAATCGATCCGCTCGCCTCATCGTCAATGTTGATCTCCCCCACTTGCGTGAAGTTGGCGACAGAATCCTCTCTAACCCGCCCACGGGATTTCTATCGTTCCCAGTCGTCTTTCAGTACATCTCCTGGTCTCCTCATGGTCCTAGTCACCGGAAACATCGGATCTTGCTCGCTGGTCCGGACAAGAGAAGAAAAGGCATGCAATCTATACTGCATCAGATTAAGAGTACTTGTTTGATTTGGACATTTAGTGACTTCCCGTTTCCAGTCCTGATCTAATACCAGCTAAAAGATTAAGAGGCTGAGCGAACAAGGGCATAAAAATACATCGAAGAAGAGGACAGTGGTAATGAGAAAGTTCGATCTAACCGCAGACCTAGAAAACACACGAACGGCAGAAGGCTAATTGTGGGGCGAGAGCCTCAGCTTAGCATTTGACATGTATTCCCGAGCGGCAGATACTACCATCAAAGCAGCCGCAGCCTTTTGAAGTCGGATCCGTATGAAAGGGAGTAGAAAGTGAAGGGCAGGCCCAGGAGAAACGCACTGCCTATACAGCAAGTAGTTTTCGTTAGAATCCATCATATAGCTAAATTCCTCGAGCGCTGGTAGTCGCCCCCCTCTTGACTGGACGCCCAGAAGGATTGCTGTCAACGAGTAAAAGTTACTCAGACGATGAAGTTCCTGGAACGAATATTAAAAGAGGCAAGAATAAAGGCATGACGAATTCGAATTTACCTGAATCAATTCGACCAACTTTGAATTAAAGCCGGCAGTTGAACATTCTTCTGATTCACAGGAAAGGTTGTTCCAACGAGTATTAAGAGTCGACAGTACATCGCCGCTGCCCTTCATAAGACTGTCAACAGTAAGACCTTGAAAGAGACAGAGATCTGCGTTCGAAAGCTGGATTGCCAATGCCTCAGGTTTCATGTGGTACAATTGGTCGAGAAAGTCAGTCCGAGTGTCAAACTCCTGCAACCAGACGCGCTCAGGACTACTATACCAGCGTGTAAAGCGTACTGCCAAGGCGTCGAGTTTCATATCCTGAATTGGGCTGTTTCTGGAAAGAACTCTTTTGAGCGGATCAGTAATGAACTGAAAATTAATATTGTATTCGACCCATTTCCGTCTCACAAAGCAGTTGCAGGCATGCTCAACTGCGTGGGATAGGAAAGGGTCTGCCTCTTTCTTTAAGACCTTGGGGCTGTTAGTATAAGCAATAGACGGACAAGTGGGGAATGGAATCTAAACTCACTTTCTTCACATCCAAGTACTTTCCATATTCTTCTGCATGTCTTCTGAGATAGTAGTAAAGCATTGCACTTAGACAATCATACTTCGACTCGAGGAATCTCACGGCACCTGAAGAACCTGTTGCTTCCTTCACCCAGTCCTTGAATTGAACACAGTGGAAGTATCCCTCACTCTCGGAGATAAGATACGATGCGATTTTTTCGGCGCTAGAATCTTGTGCATCACGCGATTTCCAATTCCAAATGAGCAGCTTCATCCCCTCCGGTATCTCAGGTGAAATTCCATCTATGCCGGCTGCGAAGGCAATGTCCTGGTTGACAGACACATTACCACTGAAGACACTAGACCCTTGGCTCGTCTTGCGCCCTTGTTGAGTTGCTGACAGGTCGTGGTCTCTTAATTCCGTGACGCCCAAACTAAAATCCGGGTTCACGACGTCAACAAGAGTATCCTGAGAGGATGTATTCACATAATGAATGGGGTTTTTCTGTCCACAGACCTCTGTCAGTATATTAGTCAACTCAAAACCAGCTTATCCAAGATATTTCGTACTCACAGGGCTGACTTTGGGATAGAGAAGCATCTCATCGATGAAGTTAGTCAGGAGACCGGAGCTTCGTCTCGTCTTGCTCCTCTCTTGAGCCGCTTGGTCGTAGTAATGCACTTGACAACCGAACTTATCACCCTGCTCACAGCATACGTCAGGATATTTTGATAACACAAATGTGAGCGGTGAAAGAATGCAATCGTGCCTTATCGTGACCCGCCTGATGCTCAATATCCAATGTTGATGAGGTGCCACGAATGAGTTCTAGGCAGAAGGAAAAGGCACCGCATAGAATACTCCAGCACCGCCTCAGATGAAAGAAGATGCCAGGCATGGCTGAAAGGAACGTGCAGGAGTAGGCCTGAGTAAAGTTGAGTAGATAATGAATAGATAGCAACGAAGCTGGTCTGTGTCAACTTGCGGTGTGCATCCGGAAACAAGGCTGGCGGCTTTATAGCTCTGACGAGCACATTCGGCAGCGAGGAAGCGAGTCCTTGATGGTCTCGACCTCGTTCAATCCAAAGCAATAAGCTTGCTGAAGAATAGGAAGTCATTCCTACTGGCTGATCACTTTGTCCCATTTTGTCCCGTTCCGTTCCGTTCCGTTCTGTTCCATCCCATTCCGTTCTGTTCGCTCTGTCCCATATTCTAGCTTTTATTAACAAGTGCACGAATCATGGGTATCTGATCATTGGGTAACCTGGTTATTGTTTGTGAGATCGCCGTATCCCCATCCAAACTGCATAATACTAGAGCTAGGGATGATCTAATTTGGGTTCTAGACCATCTAGCCAAAGTCAACGCATGGACTCGCTGTTGAGATTTTTGGTGACTGCTTGGATGAAAGGTTCTCGGGCCGCTGTTGATCATCTTCGACCAATTTTAACGAGTGCATTGAAACGCCATGTTGGTAGGCGAGGGCTTGTCGTTTTTTTTTGTCAGGGTCTCTCTGCCAAGTATGTACCCAAGACTGTTGCTTGACTTCGTCTTCCCTTTAGGCTCATTCAGATATCAAGATGCATCCTCTGCACCTGCAACACGAAGCTCCTCCTTTTTCCAAGCCCCGGTAATCGGCAGTCCAATTTCAAAATTGTTCTGGGAAGACATCCAAGACGTCTCAACCAGCAAGTCCCCTGTGGTATCAATATCTCGAGAATTCGCTATTAACTGCCGACATGGCCCTTCAGGTAGGGTAAGTCCGACTCAGCCTTGAGGAACAGGAGAGATAGATCGATTGACATACAATGATAGCCAGAGACAAAGAAAGGGCCGATCTCCCAGTTCTTTGCCTCTCCAGGTGCTGGATGTTTTGCGTCAACTAGGATTGTGTTCTTATGGCGACCACCAGCCATAGGAACAATTCTGACGGCCCTTTACGTCGTTCGAGCTGTGGAGACATGGAACTTGCATTGAGCTACCTACGATCATCCGATACGAACGACAATGATCCCACCCGTGAATGCTCCCCCATGCAACAATTGGGGTTACCGGCCTTTCAATCGAGGCTGCGTGCTTCGGCCAGAAACTCCCAAGAAATCGCGGAAGACCCTGTGCAAAACCCAGAACCCTGCACTAGCACAGGAGCAGGTGATGGATCTAGAAGTTGTGAGAAAGGTCTAATAGACCAAGGTCGAAAAATATTCACCTTCGACAAGGGAGCCATTTGAACGTGAAAGATCTGGGAGAAAAGGTAGAGGCGAATATGTTGGAGCAAGGGTGGACTGCTCCGCAAAGCACGCCTTCAAAACCAGAGTCTTGCTACCCAACGTCTTTTGAGCCATCATAACTGCTGTCACATGATGAGGTGGGGTATCTGCCCCACGTCCTCTTATGACCTCCGAACTTGTCGCAAGGAACGATTTTCGGGTGATGTACGGACACTCGCAATCCACAAATAGCCGGGTCTATTCACTCTTAGTCGTCGCTCTCACAAAGCAATCATGGCTGCGAATGAACTCTACAGGAGGATATCTTTAGATACAGGAGGATACGAGGAGATCTTGGAGAAAGCAGAAGAGGTCTGACTACCATTGTGAATTCAAAAGCTCAAACACTGATATGTCAGCATCCAGTTAGATGCCAGATTCCACGGTTCAAATGTTGAAATCGATGATCGCTGGACCACGCACAACGCAAAACTGATAGAAGGCCATTCAACAGATCGTCTCATCGTCTTTCGTCCTCAAAAATCGAGTAAACTTCTCGGGTGCATTCGCGTTTACGAAGCTGAAACGACCGTTGGAAAGACCAAAAAGTTATGGGACGTTTTTGAAGTGGAAGGGACATATATAGGCAAGATTCCTAAGGATTGTCCCTTCGAGGCGATGCTGGTGGAGGTGAAATTGATCACGCTGAATGATCATGCAAATTGAAAGGGATAGTCAGAGTAGAATATCACGGGCAAGTCGAGTTTATCACCTTCTTGCAACGCTTGAGTACTAGGGATGGACAAAACGAGTGACGCGACCCGGTCCTCGGCAGGGACTGTGAGGATGGCTGAGAGTTTTGAGTCCTTGTGGATGTTGAAAAAGTGATGCAGAAGGTCCGGGGGTATGTTGAATGCAATTTGAAGAGGCCTGCTTTGTTCGGGGTGATATTCGAATCTGTTGAACATAATTGTTGAACTTCCAAGCTGTGATAGCACAGAATAATGTGCCAGTCCATGATCTATTTCTGTACTTTTATCTAGAATTCAGTCAAGTCAGTTGGTATCCTAAAATCTTCACAAGCAGTCCGTACAGGGTGTTAAAAGAGTTGTCAGCTCAGCTTCTATGTCTTTTGAGGGAGCAGTTTCCGTATCCGGAGGCCCAGGAGGGCCATTCTTGCCGAGTGATTTCACTTGATTAGACGAGCCCCAAAACTTCGTGGCCGCCTCCTTGAGCAGCTTTGGGAAGGGCGTCCGCCGTGACCACGCTTTCAGCTCATGGTAAAGTCCGTAATATTCAATCTTTGGTAACCCTGTGATAGAGTATTCTAGTATGCAAAGAAAGCTCGTCACCGGTCCAGCAACTTCCTTGACCTTCAACGCGAACTTCCGTGCGGTCATTCGAACATGCTGATTGGTTCTTGACTTGCCCGTGGTGTGATTAGTCAGCAAAGTCTTCCAAGCGACAACCTGCCGTTTCTTGCTCGCGGTCAAGAAATCGAGTTCTTCGGAGCCTTCAAAATCGAGGTTTTCTGAATCGGAATCTTCTGAGGCAAAGAACGGAATACGTCTCTCGAGTCTTTGCAAAAGACTTTGAGCATCACTAGGAGATTTCATGGTATAATGGATTAGAGACCAGAACAAGCGGAAACCGAGCAAAACGGGCAGGAACAGAACAGAACGGGAAGGAACAGAACAGAACAGAAATGAACTGAACTGAACAGGAGGCACAAGATACTAAATACCCGAGTTGTCAATTAGTTAAACTAGCTTGCTTACTCCACAGTTGGCGATTCGCCACTGCCGGCAAAGTGGATTGGCTATGACCAGACCTAGACGACGAAGCTGGCTCGAGCACACTGATGATTGGCGCACACGCACGGCGCTAGTAGTCGTCGGCGCAAAGTCATTGTTGGCGAGTTATAGAGTCAGCGCATCACTGCAGTTAGGCGCTTGCAATGGCCGTCGATCATTGCACCACAGTATTTCCGGTCGACCTACCTGCTCTGTAAGCTGCAGAATGGCCGGCACACAAGGAAGGGAAGACGCAACGGGTACATTTTCTCGTTCTAGTCTAAAGGTATCAAATATCACGATATGTATAAATATCGCCTTCTCCATCTAATGATGTTGGATGCACACTGGTCATACTGCAGAACTATGGAAGAAGTCATCGCTGTGATTAATTTTTTTATTCTCCTTTCAAATTTGTTGATCTATCATGCACATCGCCAGCAGACTTTGAATACAATCAACAGACACCGAAAATCCGTCATGGCCTCTGCCGTTTAGCCACCCAGCAAGAATTCTGCTCTCTCAGGAGGCTGGATTCGCATACCTGCCAAGCAGACACTCCGTGCTATGGTAGAGGCTTCCCTGCGACCTCTTGAGGATGAAAACAATTGCCCAATTTCAAGTCCTTATCTGTCGTCTTGCACCCGATCTCGCTTCACGCAAAGTGTTGAAGGTTCCTTGCTCAGGGGTCATCTAAGGGGAAGAAGGCAGAAGAGATCTGTAGCGACTACACCGACGCAGCCATATAATTGATGCTACACACGATGGGCTCAATGATATGTGTTCTCCGTTCTGTTCTCTCGACCACCAAGATGCAGCGATCTCAGGGGTAACGGAATACGAGGCCGCTAGTCGGCGTCACGTGTAGACCCACTTTCATATCACAAAGACTAGACCCTGAGTTAGGTACACTCCTTGACTCTCTCTCCTCAGATGAGGTAGATGTCCTCAGAACTTTTGCTGTTGATGTTGATCGTTTGCATCATGGTCTCTCTGACCCAACTTCCAAGCTTGTACATGGTGTGTCTTCATGGTGCCCGGGGCGAGATAAGGCTATAAGGAATGTGGCTTTATGGTATACCGACAGCATTCGGGATGATATCACTGAGATCATTGAAACTATCGGACAAAAGTGTGAAGATCAAGATCCCAAGAAAATATTTATCAGAGCCCAGATTGAAGCATATATAGCAAAGCGTTATGCAAGCAACATCGATTTCTTACTTTCTCAGCTAGAAATAGATATGGCAGTAGTGAGTGATTTTATCTATCTTATTCTCCGATGCTAACCATCATCTACTAAAGGTTCATCTCGCGCATCACGTCAACTATGAAATGATTTCAAAAGCCATGGTTAGTTAACTATCAACTTCCTGTGACTATTAACTAACGCAACCAAGGATAATATAAGGAGTAGGGTCGAGAAACTTATAGACAGAAAGTTTGAAGCACCCGAACTGCTTCTTCTACAAACCAATCGTCCACCCCTTGAGTCTTGGAAGACTGGGTCTGAGAAGCTGGGGTCTGAGAAGCTGGGGTCTGAGAAGCTGGAGCCTGAGAAGCTAGAGTCTGAGAAGCTAGGGTCGGCTGCACTGTCAGGTAATGTATAGAGGAAATCGAGCGAGACTTCTTTTCATGGAGATGGGTCATGAGATGGTGTGGTGAAACTACGACGTATGAATCTCCAGCTTGCCGTGCTTCTTGTCGCTGCGTGACTAGTCTCTTGCAGTCCGCTGTGCATAGCCACTTGGGGAGCTGTTAGGCTAATATTTGCCAGATGTACTTCCTTGTAGCACCGTCGAGTTTGAGAAGGGCAGTGTTGTTAATGGCGGAGTTGTCGAGGGTAGTGATGAAGCCACCGAGGCCTGCAACTGCCGGCCAGAGATGCTCAACCATATATGGCCTGGCCGCTTAGATCTTCACCAGATTCAGGGTAAATCTGATGTAGAGACTAGTGAGGAGAATGAGTTAGCTAAGTATATGCCCTTACAGGACGTGTTCAGTAGCTCACCATGGTTTTTGCTTTTTTTGTTGAAAATAGAAGAAGAGTGGAAGCTACTAGAGCAGTTAGAGGCGAAGGGGGTATTTGAATGAGTACTTTAGAAAAGCATCACTCCAGTGTGGCTGAGCAAAGGTTGACTCCGAAGTGGGAGAAGTTCTGCCACTTCACCTAACTTCAATTGTCAAGCGGTCGCGGTGGGCGGCTTTCTCCGCGGGCGTCTTGTTCAACTTGATGCAGGGCCTTCTGTGTACGAGGTTTCAGTATGTACAGATCTTTGACTATCTCCGTAAGTCCGTATCTATATAGGTACATAAGGGCAGCGGCTTACTGATTGGAGTAGCGAGAATGTCCTAGGTTTCCATGATTTTGCGAACTGGTGGCCAGAGAGAGACCCAGCTCCAGTCGCGTCGATTTCCTAGAAATTGCCGCAACATCAGCGGGCGGTCAAGGCGGCAACACAGGCTCTTTCAAGATTACCTCTTTCCGCTATCTAGGAGCCGATAAGATCCTCGAATTCCGTGAGACGTAGCGGGGTGTTCTTGGGAGAGAGAACCGACGAGACGCGAGAAGGGCGTTTCTTTTTCATTTATTCCGGCCTCAAGTAGAGTTTCACGGACAGGAATGAATATTAGCCAGGGATCACACTGTAAATGCAAGCCACCTACTCACCTATACCGGACAGCTCGGTGATAAGTGGGTCTATCCGCTCACTCTTCTTAATCCCGAAAAGCGCGAATATCTCATCGATTTTTTTGCTTGTTAGGGAGTAATTGCTGCTTCCATGATCCCTGGCAGTCGTGGCTAGCTCTACCATGGTACCGCCGCGGTTGGTTTATAATGCAGTGTGGGATCTTCCAGGGGTTTCCATAGACGTTTTAGGGACGGTACTCCAAGGTGGAGAAAGGAGAAAGCTAAGCCAATAATAGTGGACACAGATTAACCATGGGTCTCGACCACGGAGCGATGTTCAAGCCCCTCCGCTCATCAAAAAATGGTGTATGACAGAAGCTCAAATCAGCCATCTGTCAAAGTTAGTAACCAATTAATCTACGCCGTTCCAAGATAGATACCTCATTCAGTGACGTTTCGACTTGGTAGAAGTCGAGACTGCGTTTCACAGAATCGTTCTGGGAGACACCCGGGAATGTATGTCCTGGAATTCCACCGTTCTCTTTATCCATACGCGCGCCTATATACGGCCCCGACTCATTGGTTGGCTCTCCATTCGAGAAGGGGTTAGGAGGACCTGGCGGCCCTTCGGCGCCAGGACAACCAGCAAAGTTGGAGATGTGATGCGGAGGAGGTGCGCTATGAGATTATTGAGGGGCTAATGTTGGAGGCCCAGGGTATGGCAGGGGTTTATCATTGCCCAAGGCCTCGCGGATGGAAGGGAGAGACTGCCGAGGTTTGTCTTTCTCGTCGTCGGCGCGTCGCGGTTCCGGAGGTGAATCGTATCCAGGACCTGCGTTTGTGGGAGTCGTGGAGTAGGGATACAAGGGAGGCTGGCTCGAGTACATCGCTGTTGGACTGAAGGGGGTCGCAGGAGAAGCGGCTGAGGCTCTCGGACATAGAATATTGTGGTGTCCAAAACTGATGTGGACGACGGACGACATGTCAGGTCGAAGGCTAGAGGTTCGATCGTGGTCAGTACTGTACGATTTGTCTGAGAGCTCCTAGCGAGGTATTTCAAATCATGTTAGCGCGGCCATCTATAGGAATCAATTTAGGTGAAATTTCAGGAAGTAACAGTGACGACATGATTGATCATTTAAGGACATTGTCATGGCTCGAACATCCTGTTACCCGAACGACTACGGTAACTCAAAACAGCCAACAATGCAGTAAGCAGCAGTCGCAAGCAACGGGCGGTCAAGGGTTGCCTTACGAAATCGAGACAAGTCTGCAGAAAGTAGCATCGGCCGGAGCTTGAAGACAAGAAGCTGAATTCAATAATCCTTTCTGCTAGCATTCACTGGGGCATGCTGTACAGATAGACCTACAAACACCTGAAGCCCCGGCTACTTCGAGCACTAGGAGCAATGGGTGGAACTTAGAACGTATTTCTCTTTTCCAATCTCCGAGCAAAGGAATCTTTATATTGGGCAAGTTCAACTCCTGGGCTCTCAGAACGGGCCGTATGCTCTTCCATGGTGAGAGACTCCAGACCATTCCCAACCGGGCCGGAGGGAATAATCAAAGAAGGTGGACTGTTTTTCTTTGACTGCTCTCTTGCTGCCACACTTCGAGCCAGCGAAGCGCCAAGACGACACTGGTCTGAACAGAACAGGGAGCCGGGTGTTTGTTTGCCACAGGACACACACTTCTCAAATAAAGTTGACATTTGAGATAGCAGCGACAGACTTGTGGTCGATGAGTCAACAACACGAAGGGCTGAAAATGATGACCGTCTTTTTAAAAAACTTACGTTACAAGTAAGACTTTTATTCTCGGCGAGTTTCTTGAATTATGCAATGATGACGAGCGCGGAAATCTTACGTCAGTTAATCTCAAGCAAGCTCGTCATCTATAGCTACAATTTGGTGACGGACGATTTGGGAGTGTCAACCTAATTCGAATAGAATAGAGCACCTATCACTAGTAGGTAGGGTTGAACAAGTCTTAAGTATGCCGCCGGAAACAAGAGCGCGCCCTCTAAGACCCCCTCCTGCCCTTCCCACTTGTCGCCATCAGTGGCATCATCATCGCTTTGTTTAGATTTTGGGGAAATGTAAGCGGGGAGGTCGGATCGACGTCGGTGGTCAGTCGGTCTTCACTCGCCACAGGTTTCCTAGCAAGCAACGAAATGTCAGACTACGAAGGATGTACGAAAGAGGAAGGAGAAGCTGTATGCTAGTTGATTCAGAAACGAATCGCTGGGGTCCAGGAAGACCAGCGATTCCTAGAGGTCATATATATACAGCAACGTCACGCTCGGGATTCAGCCCAAAGCGGTTAGGTCAGTCAGTTCGGTCACCGAACTGTCGGACTCCGAGCGGTGGTCGCGCGGCTTTCTGACGGCGATTGCCTGAGGCACCCGCTGTGACAGGAAAATATCTTCCATGGTCACTGGAACTGGACAAGGGTAAGTTACATCACCGTTCAAACATGACATGAGATTTTGTCCCCTTACGTAAACTCTATAGGCTTGAGAAGCACTCGACAAAGGCGGTTAGAAAAGTGGTCTCGATCCTCTCCCTAGACGTATCTGGGGCCTTCGACAATGTCTCCCACCTTAGATTGATCCATAACCTGAGGAAACGAAAGATAGACTGGCGGG